CTGCATGTCCATCTGTCCTTCCCCCATCTTCTCCTTCTCCCCACTGTGACCTTCCGCTGAGCCTGGGAAGGGACCACATGGGGCTTACAGCCTCTCTCTTGATGGCTTAATTGGTGCTGGGCTCTCCCCCTTGCCTGGTGCTGGGGTCTCTCTTGATTGGTCCACATTGGCACTGAGTTCTCTGCTGACTTGTCCATAGGGGTACTGAGCTCTATGCTAATTGTCTTGCACAGGCTCTGAGATCTCTGCCGATTGGCCAGAACTGGCAATCTGGTCTCCTGCATTCCTTTGGTAGCTGTTGCCAACAAAGATGTGGGTTTCTGGTTTGGTGTTCAGGTGGACTTCCCTGCTGTGTCCGCCTCTACCAGCTTTTGTGTTCCCTGAATGGTGGGAGAGCTGGGAAGTCACTAATGGGCTGGGGCCCCAGGGAGGAGCAGGGCCATAGTCTATTTCCAATGGCTAGGATGGTGGTGGCATCAGGAGGTAGGCCTGGCTGTGGTAGCCTTGTGTGCTGTGACAGTGCAGTTACCTGCAAGATCAGGGTAGATCAGGAAGTGCTTAGGGCTCTGATGAGGACAGGCTGCCCAGCTGTTCACCCACCAGCCTTGGAGTTTGCAGCTTGGGTCATGTATAGGATAGAACTTAGGCATGGCCATGCAATGTTCTGCTCATGGTGGACACTCTGCTCGGCCATTCCTTGGGTGGGCTCAGGCTGTGAGACAGGGCTGGGTCTGTTCTGGAGTACCTGACCTGTGTGTCCTTCCCCTCTATCCCCAGAGCCCAAGGCAGTGTTTGCCAAGGGGCAGCTTCCACACAGTGAGGGGAAGGCCCAGGCAGTGGCCTGCACCACTCTGAGCTGTGAGGTGGCCCAGTCCCAGACAGAGGTGACGTGGTACAAAGATGGGAAGTAGCTGAGCCAGAGCTCCTAGGTGCGCGAGGAATCCTCTGGCTTCAGGTGGCAGCTGGTGGTACAGCAGGCGAGCAAGGAGGACACTGGGAGTACAGCTGGGAGGCCGGGGGCCAGAGAGTCTCCTTCCATCTGGATGTCACAGGTGAGTCCTCTGAGTTCCAAGTTAACCTGCATGAAGGTGACAATGAGTAGGGCATTTGACCTTGGCAAATCTTTTGCCTGGGTCTGTGGCTTTCTTTTGTCTAGTTTCTCAATGTTGCCTGTTCCCAGGGCTTGCTGGGAGCCCTAGTGGGCCAGATGGGAGAGGGCCAAG